CTCTCTCTCTCTCTCTCTCTCTCTCTCTCTCTCTCTCTCTCTCTCTCTCTCTGGGTCCGGTACTAACCTGTGAAGTTGGCGCCTTGATGCAGGTACCTCGAAGATGGAGCTGGAGCTATGGCACCACAGGTACGTCTCGCTGGCCTCCGCCAGCCATCTCTCCCAACTCTACGATCTACCACCTACTAGCGCCCAGCGCTGGAGACTACTGCTATGGCTATGGGCGCCCAGCGCCGAAGACTACCACTAACGCTGAAGACTACTGCCTAGCGCTGAAGACTACTGCAGCGCTCCTCCTGAGTGCTGCGGCCGAATCCTGAAGACTACTCGTGCCTACTGACAACTACCTGCCCGTGAAGTGCATGGGACTATCCTATGTACTACTCGGGTCTGCCTCCTGACTGCAGGCGAGCAGTCCAGGAGGCTGCTCTTGCCAATCCCTCAGGGAGGCAGGGGCTGCAGCTGCAGCTCCTGCTCGAGCTGGCGTGGGGAACAGGCTATTTCTGGCCTGTTCCGAAACCCTGTTTTCGTGCCTGAGTCTTAGGTAGGTCGAACACAATGAGGGCCTGAAAATGGCCCTCCGTTTCAGGCTAAAAAGCCTTTGGGCCTGAAAGGCCCAGAAATAGGCTGAAACGGAGTAGGGCCTGCAGGCCCTCGTATTTCAGCTTTCAGGCTGAACGACCGGGGCCTGTAAGCCCTAAGTTTTAGGCTTTTAGGCTGAAAGTGCGGGACGGGCCCTGCAGGGCCCGTGTGGCTACGCAGTATGCCACACCCCCCCCTCCTTGAAGGACCGAGCCTACCTGCGAGGGCGTAGCTGTCTGTCTGAGAGAGGGACCACAGTCCGGGTGGGAGGGGCAGGTCGTGGAGGTCCCTTGGCTAACCTTTGACGCTCATAGTGAGCGTAGATCAGCGGCGCGGATGCTTTCAAATCTGCTCCTGAAATTCACCGAGTGTCGTCGGGATCGCATGCTCTGAATGTAACTTTGTACTGTCGCGGCTTGCTGCCGTACTTGCGATCCGACATGACACGGTCAACCTCCTGATGATCATCCATAGATGGAGGGTCCTGCGATCGTCGGCCCGGAAAGTCGTCGCTCTTAGCTGGCGTGTATGTTGCCAGCTTCGAGGCGTGAGAGACTGGATGGACCATCAGATGCTCGGGAATGTTGATCACAAATGAAGGGCCATCAGGCTCATCGCCCACGGCTGATGTCACAGACCATGGTCGAAACCACTTGGGAAGCAGTTTGCGTGAAACATCCTGTTCCAGTGCAAACTCTTCCGCGGAGACCCAAACCAGATCACCGGCGCGGATGGGACATGGCACGCGACGCCTGTTGGCTTGCTGCTGCATGCGGACTTGAGCCTTTGGCATGTTCGCGCGGGCTTGAGTCAGCAATTCCCTGTACTTCCGGACGGAAGCAGGAGAGCAAGCGGCGTTCATGTCGGTTGGTCGAGGGAGGAGAAGGTCGGCGAAGATACAGCCTTTCCGTCCACCGTGGTGCAACTCGAATGGAGTCACGCCGATCGCAGGGTGCACCGAAGTCTTGTAGGCGAACTCGATGTCGGGGAGGCGGTCAACCCAATCTTTCTGGTCCGGACGGATGAGCGTACGAAGCATCATTTGAGCGGTTTGATGTGCCCGCTCCGTTTGCCCATCCGTCTGTGGATGCCGAGCCGAACTTGGTTTCATTTTCGTGCCGGACTCCTGCATGAGAGCAGTCCAAAATGCCGACATGAAGTGAGTGTCGAGGTCGCTGACTATATCTTCTGGTACACCGTGGCCACAAATCCAACCGGTGTGCAGGAGGTGTGCCAGCTCAGGAGCCGTGGAGTAGTACTTGCAAGGAAGAAAACGTGCGTACTTACTCAATCGGTCCACAACCGTGAGGATGCCGTCGTGTCCGAGCCGGTCGCGAGGGAACAGACCGGGTGACGTCCATGGCAATGGAGAGACCGGGTTCTCGTGGGATGGGCATCAGGCGTAACTCGCCATAGGGATTGCGGTTGCAGGGTTTGCTGCGTTGGCAAACTTCGCAAGAGTCGCAATACCGAGTGACATCGGTAATGAGGTCAGGCCATCGGAATCGTTGTCGAAACCTTACAATGGTGCGGTTGACTCCGAAATGGCCGGCGAGTCGCGAGTCATGGTACTCCCCGAGAAGGCGAGTCCGAAGACGACGGTCTCGTGGGACACACAATAAGTTCTTGCCTCTCGAGTGGAGGAGCAAGTACCCGTCGGCAATGCGACAGTGGATGGCCGGCGGGTGATCCGAAGATAGTTGTGCATAGAGTGTGGCAAAGTCCGGATCAGAATTATATGCCCGGATGAAGTGTCGTTGAAGCTCCTCGTCGAATATGAAGGCATGATGTGTCATAGCGCAAAGATCAGGTCTTCGCGAGAGTGCATCTGCTGCGCGATTTGAGAGGCCGGAAAGATGTTTCGGTGTGAAGTCAAACTAGTCGATGAAGTACATCCATCGTCCGATCGTGCTGCTCACCATATCCTGCGTCTTGTAGTAGGTCAATGGATTGTTGTCCGTAACCCATATGAACCTACGACGCCCAAGGAGAGAAGTGTCACCAGCGCTTGAGAGCCATCACCAATGTGAGCAGCTCCTTCTTCCTTGCATCATCAATCGAGTTCATGGGAGGCACTTTGTGGCCGAAATACTCCACAGGGTGTCAGTCGTCGCCGTCGTGTTGTTCCAAGACTGCCCCAATGCCATAGCCGGAAGCGTCCGTAGTCACTCTCGTCGGCAGGGTGGGGTCATAGATGTTAAGGACGGGTGTCATGAGCATAGCCGTCTTAAGTGTTTGGAATGACCGGCGTACGTCGTCATCGAATACGAATGGCACCTTTGGCGATTGTAATCTCGTCATAGGTGCAGCAATCCTCGAGTATCCGGTGATGAATCGCTGATAGTAGCCCGCCAATCCCATGAATGAACGAACGTCCGTGGTGTTGGTGGGCTCGGGCCATACTCGTAGGGCCTCAATCTTGTCCGCAAGCGGACGGATGCTTTGCGGCGTCACATAATGTCCCAAGTACTCCAGCTCCTGCCTCGTGAATTCGCACTTGTCGCGGTTGGCTTTGTACTTGGCCTGTCGTAGCCGCTCCAAAACGGTGCGCAGGTGTTCCACATGCTCCTCCAAACTCCGGTTGTACACCAGGATGTCGTCGAGGTAGATAAGTACGAATCGATCCAGCATGTGTCGGAACTCCATTGTCATAGCCGCTTGGAAAGTGGTCGTAGCATTCGTAAGGCCAAATGGCATAACTAGCCATTCGAAATGCCCATATCGCGTCTTAAACGCGGTCTTGTAGCGATCCTCCTTCCGAATCTCGAGTTGGTGATATCCCGACTTGAGGTCCAGCTTGGAGAAGAACTTGGCGCCGCCCAGTCGCTCGAGAAGGTCGTCGATGCGTGGGAGAGGGTCAGTGTTTCTGATCGTCTGCGTTGAGCTTGCGATAATCGATGCACAACCGCAAATCCTTGTTCTTCTTCCGGACGAAGAGAACAAGAGCACCGTATGGCGATGAGCTAGGCCGAATCCAGCCTTTGTCCAAAGGTCGTCGAGCTGTGCCCGAAGCACACTTAACTCTTCCTCGCGCATTCGGTAGATGCAACCGCGCGGAGGTACGGCCTCGTCCTCGAGGATGATCTCGTGGCGGATGGGCCGATCCGATACTACTCCGTGCTGGCCTTCGAACACGTCGCTGTAGGCATCGAGAAGTTCGGTGACGCGTGGATCCGAAAATGAGTCCGTCGATGAAGCGTCATGGGGCGGGAGGGCGTGGAGAAAACACACCCCCATCTCCTCGATGTCCTCTCTGATGATGGAAGCTCGCATGCTTGCGGCGGATACCACGTGACAGTTGACTGAAGGGTGAGGAGGAGCTATCGTGCATGGGACTAGTACTCCGTTCCGATCATGAACGTGAACGGTGCGGCGGTAGAAGTTCACCGGGTGGTCCTCACTTCGCAGCCATAATATGCCCAAGATCATGTCGAATTTTGTATCCAGGATGTCAAAGGACACCGCCTCATGTGCGTGAGGGGCAAAGTTCACTGGGACGTCATCAATGCACCGGTCGATTGACTTGTGCGTGTGACCTTCCGCCAACGTGACTTGCGTGGGCTGGGACTTCCTTCGGACTCGTGGGCCAAGGCCGGCGCGTACCATGAAGTCCTGACTCATGTAATTGCGAGATGCTCCGCAATCGATCAAAGCGCTGCAGGTCGCCTCTCCGAGCTGAATGCGTACATATAGCAATGGTGCGTCGATGTCGTCGTACCGTTGCGTCTTGAACTCGCGGTCGATCTTAGCAATGTAGGCGTGAAGGTCGACAACCTCTACTCCGGCGTCCATCAACGGAGTCGGTACTGCAGTGTGCAAGTAATCCCGCAGTTGTGCAATGAGCACGTTGCAATGCGGTTTCGGCAATCGTCCGGTCGAGGGAACGGGCATCCATTGGAAGTCCGCGAACGTCAATGGGTCGAGCTCTTCAAGTTTTGACCATGACGTCGAATCCCCGGCGATAGATGGCGGCGAAGCTGCCGAATCAGTTGTCGATGGTGATGAAACCGTGCATGCGGTTGATTGTTGCACGTGGAGCGGTTGGTCCAGCGGTGGAACCAAGTAGACAGCATAATCCTCATAAGTGTACCGAGGACTTGCGACATTCGCATCCTCCCCAGATGTGCAGGAGGCCGCTAGCAAGGCGGCCGAATCTGGCGGAGTGGAAGGTGGAGTCGCCTCACCTCCCACGAAACTCAGTTTCCCGAGTTGAGACAGGGTCGCACATCCTCCTTGGCCTGATCCTGGCAAAGGGAGGTCTTGTGCTTGGTGTTGTTGCACCAGTAGCAGCAGCCGTAGCGGTCGCGGTACTTGTACTCCGCCTCGGTCAAGCTAAACTTGACCCATGGTGCTGGCTGTCCATTTCCGGCCTGCGATGCTGGTTTCGCCTTCCCATTGTTTTGGGACTTGTTGTTGCTTCGCGGCTGGACAGCAGCGACCTGATCTTCGTCACGTGATGCTGGAGTGGCTGCTGGGTCTTCTCCACTGTCCGATTGGACTGCAGCGAAGTGTTGCGGTCGCAGACCAGTCTTTACCTTCTCCACATAGGTCGGCTGCCACGTTGACTTCTCGTGTGCAGCTGCCCTGTTAGTCTTGATGATCTCTCTCGCCTTGTCAATGATCTCGGCGAAATTGGTATACTGCTCGCGATCACCAAGTGCTTGGCTCAGCGCAGCGCATGACCTGTTGTAGAACTCACGGCGTAGATGCGTGAATGGTAAGTCCAGATCGGGCACGGCCGCGATCTTCTGCCATTCCGTGAGCCAGTGACATGTTGTTGTGTTGCCCTGAGACATGGTGAAGGGTCGGTTGATGGCGAGTGCTGGTGCGTCGTCGACGATGAACCGCTTCTTCCACAGCCGTGTTAACTCTTCCCATGTAATCCTGTCTTTCAGATCCACGACGTCGACGCCGTGGGTGGCTGCCAGGTGGGTCAACCAGGTCTGGCATCCGCCCTTCGAGTTAAGGAACAGGGCGCCGATGTACGCGTGTTTGGCGACGGGCAGAATCCGAAGTTGCGTCGTGAATGCTTCCCACCAGAGGACCGGATCCTGTTGTGTGTAGTCGTCGAACTTCTTCAGTTGGAAAGTTGGCATCTTGTACAGCTTTGGATTGCCATCCGAGTTCGTCGACTTCAGTTGCTGGACCTCGGTCTTCAACGTGTCCAGTTGGCTGCTGATGGTGGTTGGCGCCGTGAAGGTGCTGATGTCGCCGAGCATTGCCACTAAGTAGTCAACGCGTTCCTCCAGTTGGCGGCTAGAGGGTGCACTGCTGGAAGCCCCAGCATCTGGTCGTGGTACAGCCTGTTCCAGGTCCAGTTCACGGGAACTGAGTGCCCGTGTTGCATCCTCGTGGCTCTGCACCATCCGGCGGAGGTTCGCCAACTCCTGGTGTTGTGTCTTCAGATCCTGGTACTGCTGCTGTAGTTCCTGGTTCTGTCTCTCTAACTCGGACCGTTGGTAGTTGCAAGCACACAACAACCGTGTCACGAGTTTGGAGAGGAACTCCTTATGCTGCTCTTCCGATGTTGCGTCGTCGCCGTTCGGTTCAAAGTGCCAGAACTTGAGTCTCTCGATGTTGTTGGCTTCATGCCGCTGCAGCAGATCCTGGGCTTCCTTGCGGCGAGCCTGGGCATCTGCGTCTGCCTCGGCCTGTAGCCGCAGCTTCTCTGCTGTTGCCGCTTCTTCAGCCTGTAGGCGGGCAGCCTCGGCTGCCAGCTGGCATTGTTCCTCAGCCTCGATGAAAGCGAGCTGAGCCTGGAAGCGCTTTTTGTAGTCGGCAATGGGCTCATTGGCCAGTTGGCCTGGCAGGCCCATTGCTGGACCCGTCATGCTGACGTGGCACTGCTGATGTGGCACTGCTGATGTGGCACTGCTGACGTGGCATTGTGGCTGACGTGGCATTGTGGCTGACGTGGCACTGCTGACATGGCACTCCTGACGTGGCACTGTACCAACTCGGAAATGCATCCAAAGGGTGGGTGGGAGGGAAAACGTAGGTAGGCAAACAACCCAACGATACTTTCCTCCGACCCTAATCAACAGATAAAATAAAAATAAAAAATAAAAGAGGACTACTTTCTTTTTTTTTTTTTTTTTTTTGTCGATCTATTATGAGTGAGACATGTCAGAAGAGTATTATGAACGAGATCTAGGCTAGGTTTCGCAAAGTTTCGGCTTTCACAAAATGCGATCTTGAAAGAAAAAGAAAAAAATTGCGAAATGGAGTAAAGATGCGATTTTCAGAAAAGAACGCATCAAGGCGCCAACTTCACAGGTTAGTACCGGACCCAGAGAGAGAGAGAGAGAGAGAGAGAGAGAGAGAGAGAGAGAGAGAGAGAGAGAGAGTTCTTCTTCCTCTTCTTCTAAGTCCACCATCTCTTCTTCCCCTCTCACCACCTGACTTCTCAGTATCAGTGGACTACTACAGAGAGAGAGTTGTGACTTGAGACTTGACGACATTGGATCCAGACTCGACATTTGGGATTCAAATATTTCGACGAGGGACTATTTGGGCCTGTGCTGAACACTTGGTGTTGACGACATTCCCATCTGCCCCTCTTCTTCGTCTAACCCCCCATCTCCTTCGTCTGTGTATGGTAGGGGGCTGGCGCAGTCTTCCTGTGTGAAGCGCCAGACCCCATTCACACCATGTAACGATGATGATGATGTATGTTCAGGGCTGCATTGCAATACTGATTGTTCGGATCATTGGTATCTAAGTCTTCCGCTGTGCTATCTTATACTTTGTATTGAGAGGTCGGTTCTTATTCTGGTCTGCACCGTTACAGTATGCAACAATTTGGTATCGGAGCGGACCTCTCACTCAGAGGACCCGTTCAATCAAATAGCCAGCTTGCTTGATCTATTGATTACTCGTTAGTAAATCAAGAAGGACTTCGTCAAATCTCTGAATTTTTTTTTTTCCTCACAACAACTATCTGAAATTTCTGATATTCGCATTTCGTTTTACTTGAAAATTCATGATATTAGTATTTCGTTTTTACGTAACAAATATCAGAAAATTTATGATAAATCGCATTTCGTTTTGTCTGAAAATTCACGATAGTAGCATTTCGTTTCTCTGATATTTTGCATACATAGCTGAAATTTTCTGAGGTTAGTATTTCGTTTTCTAGGTATATTGGGATAACGATAGAAGTGGTCATATTCTCGGGAACCGGAATTATTCTTTTCTGAAAATCGAATTTTCATTCTATCTCGCAAAATTTTTCTGAAAACCGAAATCTTGCGAAGCCTACCAACATTTCGTTAGGCATATTCACCCAACTCTTACGATCTACCACCTACTAGCGCCCAACGCTGAAGACTACTGCTATGGTTATGGGCGCCCAACGCCGAAGACTACCACTAACGCTGAAGACTACTGCCTAGCGCTGAAGACTACTGCAGCGCTCCTCCTGACTCCTGACTGCAGGCGAGCAGTCCAGGAGGCTGCTCTTGCCAATGCCGCAGGGAGGCAGGGGCTGCAGCTGCAACTCCTGCTCGAGCTGGCGTGGGGAACAGGATATTTCTGGCCTGTTCCGAAACCTTGTTTTCGTGCCTGAGTCTTAGGTAGGTCGAACATAATGAGGGCCTGAAAATGGCCCTCCATTTCAGGCTAAAAAGCCTCTGGGCCTGAAAGGCCCAGAAATAGGATGAAACGGAGTAGGGCCTGCAGGCCCTCGTATTTCAGCTTTCAGGCTGAACGACCGGGGTCTGTAAGCCCCAAGTTAGGCTTTTAGGTTGAAAGTGCGGGACGGGCCCTGCAGGGCCCGTGTGGCTACGCAGTATGCCACACTAATCTAATTAAATTAGATTGAAGCGCAAAACACCCGCTTTTATGCACTCTTCTCTCGTCACTGGCACTCCGTTTTTTTCCGTCGCGCGCCTCTGCAGTTCGTCTCTGTGTACGTTATCTTACCAACACATTGCTCAGCCATTGCCCAGTACACCCAGCCAGCAGGATTGTCTTCTATTGAGGAGTAGGGGTACTTCGAGTCGCGGAATGGGGCCCCACCTGCTGCGGCGGCGAGTCAGGCATCGCAGGTCCATGGACAGCACATTGCTGGACTAGGTCATTTCTTTTAGTCGTGGAGAGCATCAGCAGCCCAATGCCCCTTCGAAGACACTGTGGGGACACAGGTCCCTCCATCGGTGGAACATCTGTCACGGCAGTTCACAAGTTTTGCACTCGTGGACCGGAGGGTCCATCGGTGGGGCCCGGATAATGCAAAGGGGACAGACTGTGTGACCGATTTCCTGCGTCCCCACGTTGTTACGGGTGGTCCTGCTGTGTCGTCACTGGTGCCGCCGGTTGGCGGGTTCAGAATTCAGGTAGGCGGTGAGGATGAGCACAGTCTTCGGCAGCGCCTGAGAATGCGCGCAATGGGCATGGCTGATGGGCTGTCTCCACATGTTGGCGAACGGGCCGTGGGTAGTTATGCGACCTCTTCTACGTGTAATGATGGAAGCCACCATGGTAGTCTCGGTCTCGGACTGTCAATTATTAGTTTTGTGAATAGTGACACAATGCTGTCCCGTCGGTCTGCCACTCCCACAACACTCTCGCTGATTGGTCACGGGAGTCATCTCCTGTCACCGGAACCGTTCTGTGAGGCTGGTTTGCTACAGCAACCAGGACCACATACCACGTCACCTGAGCACGTCCTGAATTGCATCATCCGGGACATAGAAGGCGGTGTCCCGCCGACGGAGTTGCCTCCGGTCAGGGCAGGTGGAGGCGAACCGGTTGACTCATCGATGGCCCCCTCGCGCACACTTCCTCGGCGTGGATCTTCCGGAGGTGTCGCTCCTGGCACTCCATCCCCACTGACTGGGCACTGAGCATCGCAGCACACACCATCTAGTGTCGAGAATTTTGTGGGAACGTCCACAAGAGGGTCATCCGAAGGTCAGGATCCAATGCGGTGTTTATTGGAGAAGTATACGGATCGGTGGGGGGAGACCGAAACTGAGTGGTTGTGCCGGTACAGAAACGAGGTGAGGGCGTTGACGGGGGAAGAGACTGAAGCATTGGGGCAAGCAAGGCTGAAAGCTGGTTTTGGGAAGTATGTGGAGCAGCACATGCGTCCGAAAGGTTACAACCGTAAAGACGACCAGTGCAAGAACAAGTTCAATCAGATCCCTGACTACTACAGAATATTGAAGGTGCATTTGCCAAGCTACTGGGACATGAATCAAACGAGGCGGAAGAAGTACAACGTCGACTTTGTGCTTCTTCAGAGTTGGTATGCCATCATACGCCTGGTGGAGAAGGACAACGACTCCATTAATTTGTCAAATTTAGTGGATTCAGGGGCGAACGAGGAGTGTCGTGAAGACAGTGAGAGGATGAACGACTTTGATGGGGAGACAGAGGGTGGAAGTCAAGACCCCGCGGCCGGGTCTGGCGGTTCGCTGGGCGGGTCACTCTCAACAGGTTTGGATTCGATGCTCGGTAAACGCAAAAGTGCTGCCAGCAATGCGCGTGAATCGAGTGTGCAGGTTGTGACAGCTGCTATGCGTGATCACACCACGACTCTAACACGTTCAGACAGGGAGTGCGCGAAGATGCGGTGTGAAGTGACACATGACATTGCAAGGCAGCGGGCTGAGGTTCATCGGGAGCTTATGCAGCAAGGCATTGTGTCACGTGAGTGAATTGCTTATATAATGGGGGATAGGGTGGTGAATGGTTATTTAGTCTGTGCTAATGCCATCCGTAGTCTGCCTCCACATATGGACAGTCCATGTCGTGGCGCGAACTGCAGCAATTCCCAGTAGTTCTCCAACTAAAGTGTTTTTCGTGTTAACATTCGAATTCGGAGTGTGTTTCTGTTGTGCCTCTGCGGTGGCCTAATTACATGTGTAGTGAGGCGCCGTAGGGGGAGCACAAAACTTGCAATTTGTTAGGAAGTTTGTCACGCTAGTGAAGACATGTTAGACGAATCCTTTATTTAATGCAGCACGTGCAAGTACTTCGTCTTTTTTCCCCAAACTGCTTTACGATGACATGCTCTGATGGAGAAATGGTGTTTTTTTTTTTTTTTTTTTTTTTGAGTTGTGTATAAGGAACACAACAGCAAGTGCCACTCGCTTTTGTAGTCGTTGTGCGGGGTAGTGTCTCGGCAGTCAATTTTTTGTGGAGAAGACTGGAAGGTTGTGTCTTGGCAGTCAATTTTTTTGTGGGGAAACATGTCCTCAAGGACATCCTTTGAAATTGTAACTTACAGTTTGTGCGGTGTCGGCTTTTGGTAGTCATGTCCAATTTCCTCTCTCTCTCTCTCTCTCTCTCTCTCTCTCTCTCTCTCTCTCTCTCTCTCTCTCTCTCTCCACTAGAAAACCAGAGTGGTCCTGGCTCGTGATAAATGAAATCGTTGTTTCAAGCAGAGGGATAGTATTACGTGCTTTGTTTCATCACGGTATGACCATGACACACGTGTTGGTGGGTGTATGTCAGTTGTATTGATGCGAGAAATGGTATTAAAAAAAAAAAATAGAAATAAAAAACACAAAAAAAATGGGCCGCACATTTCTTGGATTGAACCGCGTCGATAATGTCGCCCGCTTCTGTCATAGCTGTGCCCTGGTCCCACCCACCCTCCCCACAGATACACCACTGCGACGACTCACTCAGTCTCATACGCCTCATCATCCAACCCTGTCTCGCCCAATCAAACCACCATGCTATCATTGAAGGTCCACCCCACCCCACTTTCCCACCAGAACAAGCATCAACAGTAAGATTTCACTTCTCCTTAAGTTGTATTTAGAGAGCCTGAATTCCGCGGCTGGCAGGTGTGTTACTTTTTCTCTGCATTCCGCGGCTGGCAGGTGTTTTACTTTTTCTCTTTACCTTTCATTCCCTCGGAATCATCCTGATTGTCCATGTGTTCCTTTTCTTTTTCTATTTTAT